AACTTTTAGAAGTGAGCTCTAAATTTTTATGACAATCTTAGTGTTTCACAAGGTATACCTTTATAGTGAATAAATTCCAAAGATTTTTTTATGCCACCTTGTAGGACTATACATTGGTTTTCACTCATCTTGCTATAAGTCAAGCAGACCCTTGAAATATATGGGATTAATATTTTTGTGGGACTTCAGAGGTCCCTCACAAGAATAGCAATTTCTGAGGGAGAAACCAAGATGGCGGCATAGGTAAACGCCAGAAATTGCTGCCTCGCACAACCACTTAAAAAATACAACTAAAAGACAAAACAGACATCATCCAGAACCACAGGAAGGCTGGCTGAGTGGAAATTCTACAACTAGAAGGAAAGAGAAAAGCCCACTGAGACTCAGAGGAGGTGTGGAGGTAAAGTGCAGAGGTACAGAGGCGCACGTGGAAAGGGCTGGCAACTGAGGACACGGTTGTCTTTGTCAATCAGGAGGTAGTCTCAAACTTCCGACTGCTCTGAACTCCAGTTCTGGGCGAGTCTCTGGGGACCCAGACTCATACGGGGAGAAACTGGACTGTCTGGCATCGGGCGGAACTCGAGGGCGGCTTTCTCTCAGAGGTGCTTGCAGCGATTACCGCAGGACACTGAGAACTGGGACCTCTAAGGGCAGGACTGAGGATCTGCCATAGCTGTTTGCTCCGCCCTGTTGATTCCTTGAGACCCCGCTCTACCCAAGCTGTGCACAGAGGCTTTTGCATATGAAAGGCCTGGCCCTTTGCAATCTGAAAATTACCTAACAAACTGCATCTGGGTCAGAGAGACCCAGAACTTCCAAAAGAAGGCCCAAGGCCCCACAGCAGCTTGCATTGCTTCACAGCTGGGCCTCATCTGGGCACCTCCAAACCCCAAACAAGGAAGAGGAACCTGCAGATCTCTCCATAGCTCCTGCTGGGTAGCCTCAGGCAGAGGCTAAATTAGCACATCTTTAGAGATCCAAGAGCCAGTGTACCCAGTGGTCAGAGTGGGACCATCCAGATTACAACTCCTCAAATCCATAAGGGACACACTCACGGGGCAGACTCAGTGAGCACCAAAGCCCCACTGAAGCAAGTCTTGCCCCATAAGGGTGTCTGCAGCACAGAAGTTCTCCCACTGTAGACAGAGCTGATTCTCACAGTCAATTCGCCTGGAGGTCAATTCCTACCAGTGATACTTACAATAATCAAGGCTTAACTACAACAAGACTGTGCACAAAGCCCACAAAGGGGTGCACCAAGAGAGTCCACCTCAGGTCATTGGGGAGGCAGAGCCACTGGGCCCTATAGGACACCTAGCACAGAAAGCCACTCTATCAACACAGGGAAGCATAAAAAATGTGGAGACAAAGAAACAGGTCACAAATGACAGAAATGGAGGAAAGCAAACTACTGGATATAGAGTTCAAAACCACACTTTTAAGGCTTTTCAAGAACTTTCTAGAAACCGCCGATAAATTTAGTAAGACCCTCAAAAAGTCTGATGAGACCACTGGTAAATGTAGTGAGACCCTCAAGAAATCTAGTGAGACCCTCAAGGTTATGAAAAAGGACCAACTAGAAATTAAACATACACTGACTGAAATAAAGGATATTATGCAGAGTTCCAACAGCAGACTAGCGGATCCCAAGAATCAAGTCAAAGATTTGAAATACGAAGAAGCAAATAACACCCAATAGGAAAAGCAAAATGAAAAAAGAATCCAAAAATACGAAGATAGTGTAAGGAGCCTCTGGGACAGCTTCAAGCGTACCAACATCAGAATTATAGGGGTGCCAAAAGACGAGAGAGAGCAAGATATTGAAAACCTATTTGAAGAAATAATGACAGAAAACTTCCCCTACCTGGTGAAAGAAATAGACTTACAAGTCCAGGAAGCACAAAGAACCCCAAACAAAAGGAATCCAAAGAGGACCACACCAAGACATATCATAATTAAAATGCCAAGAGCAAAAGACAAAGAGAGAATCCTAAAAGCAGCAAGAGAAAGACAGTCAGTTACCTACAAGGGAGTACCTATACAACTGTCAGCTGATTTCTCAACAGAAACTATGCAGGCCAGAAGGGAGTGGCAAGAAATATTCAAAGTGATGAATACCAAGAACCTACAACCAAGATTACTTTATCCAGCAAAGCTATCATTCAGAATTGAAGGTCAGATAAAGAGCTTCACAGATAAGGAAAAGCTAAAGGAGTTCATCACCGCCAAACCAGAATTATATGAAATGCTGAAAGGTATCCTTTAAGAAGAGGAAGAAGAAGAAAAAGGTAAAGATACAAATTATGAACAACAAATACACATCTATCAACAAGTGAATCTAAGAATCAAGTGAATAAATAATCTGATGAACAGAATAAACTGGTGAATATAATAGAATCAGGGGCATAGAAAGGGAGTGGACTGACTATTCTGGGGGGGGGAGAGGTGTGGGGGTGCGGGAAGAGACTGGACAAAAATTGTACACCTATGGATGAGGACAGTGGGGGAGGGGGGCGGTAAGGGCAGAGGGTGGGGTGGGAACCAGGTGGAGGGGAGCTATGGGGGAAAAAAAGAGGAACAACCGTAAAAATCTGAACAATAAAGATTTAATTTTTTAAAAAAAGAATAGCAATTTGTAATTTTGCTGAGTCATAAATTTTGAGTGTGGTTGGACCCCTTAGGATCCATATCCCAACCCATCATGTCACAGTAGCCCATTAAAGGATTAAAGAAGGGAGTATTAAAATGTTTCAGGTATATTTGACTGCCGCTAGTGGAGGAAATTACTAGTATATACCACAGTGGTATTCAAGATTGCAGGATGCAGCTCTAACAAATGTAGAGGGTCTACTGGGATGGCTTTTAGCTCCCCGGAAAAAAAAAAAAAACACTGCTGAAACTTAACATCTGGTCCAGCATTGGGAATCAGACAAATGACTTAAACAGATAAATGGCCTCTCCACAACCAGGCTAGAAAAACATCCCTGACAACGACAGCCATGACACCTTAAGGAGCCTTAGGCCGGACTTCAAGAATGCTCCTTCCTACAGGTGGACCCCCCTCCCCCCCCCAAGATGGCACTATCCACAATAAGTCCGTGGAAACAGAAATGTGAACTTCTGCATGATGTGATCTAATCCAGGAGGAAACAACTATCAGCTGCTTTCCAACCCAGTTTCTCCCAGAACACAAGGTTGTAGGGGTCACAAATTCTGGGGTTAAACAAACTGGCTTTGAATTCCAACAATGTGACTGACCAATCAGCTATGTGACCTTGAGTGAATCTGTAGGTTAGCCATTTCAGTGCCTTTCTTCATATTCAACATGGTGATTGTAACATTAACCTCTTCAGATTGTTAAAGTGTAAACCAATGCGGAGTTCCTATCTCAGTATACACACACACACACACACACACACACGCAGATGCTCAGTAGGTGTGCAGGCCTCCACAACTCACAGGGCGGGAACTGTGCTTGCTCCCTAGGCCTCTCCAGGTCCCTTTGATTACTCTGCCCTGCTCCTCCCCTCCCTGAACTCTACAGAGAAAACCTAAACGAGCATTTTCACTGTTACTTCTCCCCAAGGTCTTTAAATCAATACTTACTTGCTTACATTTCAAAATATAGATTTGAATTCCTGTATGAAACAGCTCAGAATTTAAGAACCTAAACAGGAAGAGAGATTAAGTTTTTATGTTTGAGGTGAAACAGGCCCAGAATCAATAACCAAGGTGGGACACCGACGATGACATTACTCTGAAGCGGGGGTGGGGTGGGGGTGGGGGTCTCCAGCGTGCTGTTCAGCAGCTGAAACACCTGGAGATCTGAGCCGTTTTTCTTTTGGTTTGTGAAGATCATCATCCCAGATCCCCGAGAACAGATCACCCCTGGGCCCGCTCTCAGCACCATTTCCTACCTAATAGAAGTGAATCAGACAAACAATATTGACTTTTTAAAAATTATTTAATTTAGTAGTTTTCTTGGAAAAAAAAAAAAAACAAGGCAAAACAACCAAAAATATATAGTTTTGTTTTGTTTCCATGTGATTTTATTTCACCTGAAGGACTGGAAGCTTCTTCCACTGGCAGGAATCTGACTGGGGACCAGGCTGGAAGTGTGGTGGAGGGAGAAGGGGGGCAGGAAGAGAGAAGTTCATTGAGTCGGGGATTCCCGCTGTCTAAAGCCTGATTCATCACGTCTTTGCTTTTATGGGCCTCCCTGAAAGAAGCCCAGTATAGCCCCTTGTATATGTTGGGCATTGGCCTCTTCATAGGAAAATCCCCAGCAGTGGCCCCTCTCAAGTTCATCACAGCTGGGAAGGGAGGAAGGGCGGTGGGAAAGGACCAAGAGTGCGTTTCCCCGTATAAATGGTATAAATCCAGCTTTCCGGAGGGCTGGCTTCCTCTGGAATGACAGTGGCCCCTGGGACCCACACTGGCTGAGGCTCAGCAGTTAAGGAACAGAAATAAAAAACACAAACAAAAGGCATACAAGGAAGGCACCTCAATTTGTGATCCTCAACCAAGGGTGGGTTGCACGGGGTGAGATTTCTGAACAAGACAACTCAAACAAAAACAGAACAAAAATGGAGGAAGCCAGGGCCCAACAGGGGTTATCTTACCCACCCCGTGTGATGCTGCTTCCAGCCCCATGTCCTCTGAAGTAAGTTCTTTTGGGAGTCAGCTGTGGGTGCTGTGATTTGGACAAAAGCAGAATTAAGTGGGAAATTACCCTCCTGACTTTCGACCCGTACTCTTCCTGACAAAAGATGGAAAAGGCAGGAAAGAAGTTAGGATTTCATTTTCAAGAGTCAGGTAATTGGAACAGACTTCAGACAGCAGTGGGCACCCCATGACACAAGCCAGGGGTAATGTCCCTATTCGGTAGCTGCCAGACACAGCCCTGCTCAGGTTCTGCCTGTCTGTCCTTACAGGATGGAAAGCAAGAGGGTCTGACCCACATCCCCATGTCCAACAGACAATCCCAGGGAGACCAGAGATATCAAAAACAAGATTCTTAATGGGCATAAGGAAAATCAAACAAAAAAATTAGATTTTTCTCTACATATATATAATATACAGTTATTTAACACATTATTCCATAGGTGGCTCCAGTCCGTGGGGTTTGAGAGATGGTGACAACTTTTATTCCAGATGAACTGCTTCTCTCAAGTTCTGCAGAGCAGAACGGGACAGGTAATGTTTTGCTCCACTCTGGAGCACAGACCCAAACTGGTGCTGTGCCAAGAGAGAAGAGAAGTGAGCAAGGCAATGAAGGATGGGGGTGAGGAGGAAGTGGGAAAGCAAAGGTGGCGGCAGTCTTCTTCCAGCTGCCTGTGTTCTCAGAAGTTCTCCGCCTGAGCAAGTCCATAAAACCCCTCGTGAGGACACTGCAACCCTCCGACAACCACCGAAGTGACCTCCGGTTGCTGACAAAGAAGATGGAGAACAGCAGAGGGTGTTTTACGTGAGTGAAGATAGAAACTTCCAAGAATGTAACTGAATGTTCCAACCTTACAGAACAATCCCCCTGGCGAGTGTTCCAAGATGCAGTTATCTGCGCACGGACACCCATGAGAGGGGCCCCCTGGTGAAAGTTTCATATCGTCATGCCTAAGCTCCTCCGCAGCCATATGCCTCTGCTGGTGAGTGTTACGTGTTTCTTTTTAAAGGAACTTCTTAAACCAGCTCTTGCTCTGAGCAGCACCAAAATGCCCCTGCATCATAATCGAGTGTAGATCTTGGCTGAGCAGGACACGACAGGGGAGGCTGGATGACGTCACCTTCCACAGGGGCAGAGGGAGAAGGAAGAGCCAAGAATACCTGACTTTGCAGATGTGGAATAACACTACCTTTCAGCCACTAAGCCTCTCCCTTACGAACATGGGTATCTAGTATGTTGATTTCAGTTTCAATCAGCTAAGGCAACCAGCCAATCACCACCACTGGTGTCTGCTTCTGGTGATTGATTTGGAAAAAAATGATTGGTTAAGACAGACAAACTCGAGGAAAGCCCTGGGTAAGAGGGTCCCAGCAGCCAGCTTTCCTGCACATCCTCTGTCCTCTTGGCCTTTGACTGCTCCTCCTTTTCGTTACTGTCAGTTCAGAAGATGTCCGGGCAGGCGGTCCACTCCTGCTTTTCTTTACACTCCCAGTATCCTCCCCTGTAAGTATGGGTTAACTCCTTGGTAATGGGGTCCTTCTCCCGCTTAAACCACAGTGCCTTGTAGGGATCGTAGGGTGTGCCTAAACAGGAGAGTGAAGAAAAACACAATTAGAGTCGCAAACACACTGGTAGCCTCCCCATATCAAGAACCAGAGAAGAGGGCAGGTTTGTTACCATCCTCCGTGGCTTTCACAGCTTCTGCTTCTCTCTTCTTTCTGGAGAGTCTCTGCTTTTCTTCCAGGCGCTGCTTCTCAGCATTGGCTTCATCCCAGCGCCCATTTTCCATCAGCCTCTGGTCGGGCCGCAATCGGCTGTCTGTGGGGGCAGTGCCAGCTTCCCAGGCATTGAGAGTCAGAGCAAGCTCTGAGAAGTAGTACATGTATTCTGCATTCTTCCTAAAAGTAAAGGATGAGAAAGGAAAGGGGTCAGGCTGGAGCCCAGACCCCAGCTGGATGAAGACAACAGCACCGGGCTGTTCTGCAAGGGGCAGACTTGAACACCATGGCCCCCTCCCCGAATTGAGACACCCAAACTGAACCATCCCTTGGCTTCCCCCAACACCACTCAATTCCAGTTTTCTGGGCTTGTGTTGTGCTCGGCTGAAAGTAGAGAGAAATTCATCAGGAACAAGGAAACATTCTACTAAATGAAAATTCCTATTTCTTCTGCTTTCTTTTTACCCTCTTTCTGGGATAATCTTGGCTCTTACTGTGGAATGAACATATTAAAACTGACAGGCAAACGGCTTTCATCTTAATTTATTTCCAAAGTCCTGAACATTATCTCAGGAAGTTTCCATTGGTGCTGGGCCTTTAGGCTAAATTGTAAACAGGTAGTAGGCACTCTCTCCTCCAGCCACTTCTGAAGAGTTTTGCTCTAAATTATAGAATAATGTCCTTCTGAACCACATTCCAAAGGACCTATTGAAAGCACCAAATATGGTTTGGCAGATTTGGTTTGGTTAATTTGAACTTTCTTGGGGGAAGGCATGCTACAACTCCAGTTACCCAGTGCCAACCTTCTGGTGATTTCTCCAAAGGTTCTGACTTCTTCCGCTCAGCCCCTCACATAATGAAGTGGGAAGCAACACAGATATGTCATCAATATCACCCCAAGGTTGAGATCGCAGAGGTACCTGGGCAGACTGATACTCACGGCAAGGGGTTCCTTTTCCACAGCATGACCCTGCTCTCCTCTGCTTCACAGCTTCTCTGTCGAGCATCACCCCCATTTTCCCCAGCGACAGGCTGGACTTTGAAACAATCCATTTTCTCATCCCACGTCCCCAGCAGGATAAAGTGAACCTTCCCTGATGGATCTGTCACTTCCCCTGTCACCTGCAAGGATGGAGAGCAGGGCTTTGGAGTACAGACCATAGTCACCCAGCTTACCTGCTCTTCTGCAAACCAAAGTCCTAGGGTAAATACTGGTTAAAACCTATTAGGAAAAACACCATGGAGTCATCCAAATTATTTTGTTAAATTTTTTTAAGCTGCTTAAAATAAGCAAGGCATGAGTTAGATGAATTTTTGTTACAACAATACTATGTAGGAAAGGGCCTGACTGGTACTCAGAATTATGGTATTTTCTTCTCTCCAGAATACACAGAGAGCCACAAACAAATTTAAATCCCTAACTATTTTTCACTCTCCCTTCTTCTACTGAGGAATAAACACACCTCTCGCTCAGACTCATTCCCACGGCCAAAGTGCCCGTGCCTTCTTCCTGTAATCCTTTCATTAGTCCTTCCTCTAGTTTCCCACGTTGTCTCTCATTGCTCTTGAGTTTTACTTTTTTTACTTGTAGTCTTTCCCAGAAAAGAGAAGGAGTTGGTTTAGCAATGCAATGTTGTCTCCTTTCTTGCTAACTTTCTCCTTTACATCTTCTTTTTTTATTTAATCATAGATAGATAGATAGATAGATAGATAGATAGATAGATATAGATCTATCTATCTATATATATGTATATATGTATGTTTTGGAGATATATATATATTTAGACACACACACACACTCTCTCTTTCTCCCTCTCACCCTCCTTCCCTCCCCATCCATTCATCCAACCGTCTATCCCAGCCCCAAAGGAGTAGGCTTTCTAAGGGATACACACTAAATGAAAAAATTTAAATTCCAACTTCTCTTACCTTTCTTGCTACATCCCGAGAAAAGTAGCTATAAGGAACAAATTTAAGATTGCACTTGTCTCCTGTCTTGTGATTTATAATATCAATTTCACCAGACTATAAAATGAAAAGAATCAAGGATTAGTTTTATTAATACTGAATGATTTGAAAATATGCCAACTCCATGCCTCATAATTCTTACTTTACTATCTTACATTCCAGCACTCCCTTGCTTTAGACTCAGGTCTCAGCCAACCTTGAGATGCTATGGAATCCCTTTGTAACCTTGGTATCCCAGCCTGGGATAAAGACCGAATGACCTTTGCTTTGGTTTTCTTTGAATTGTGTGTCACATGTTAGGTGCCATGATTTGACCTTCAGTACATATACTGATATTCATGTCATAATTTGTTTTTCCAAACCAATCCTCACTGGAACCCTTCAGGAACTCTGTGCTTAAATCAAAGTATTCTAGTCCTGGCCGGGTGGCTCAGTCGGTTGGAGGGTCGATCCATACACCAAAAGTTGCAGGTTCCTGGCTGGGGCACATGCTTAGGTTTTGAGTTCAATCCCTGGTTGGGGAGTGTACAGGAGGCAACTGATTAATGCTTCTCTCTCACATCAATGTTTCTCTCTCTCTCTAAAAATCAATAAAAATATATCCTTGGGTGAAGATAAAAAAAAAAAGTATTAGACTCACAATTTCAAAGTTACGTGTTGCAAGCCTTTCTACACTTTATTCCCCACATCTGTCATGAAGCTTTTCCTGACAGTTAAGACAACGTTCCCTCTTTTCTGAATTTACTGCAAAATCATTGTCTTAAGCACATACCGACAATTAAGCATACATTAGTACACCTCTTCCCATAGAGTATTTTAAAAAATATTTTTTTTCAGACAAAATCTGTTTATAGGTGAATTATTTTGTCAGACTTTCCACCTAAACAAATTAGTCACATATGCAATGATACAATAACTCTTCGAAGGACAACGTTTCATTTGACTTTGTATCCTTAGGACCTGATACTCTGCCTGGTAGTAAATGTCTAATGAATAATGAAAGAATGAAGAGTGAGAGTTGTGTTTTATTATTTTCTTGTATCCTTCACAGTGCCCAATAGTTCTAATAGTCACTGAATGTTACAAGTTGGTCATCCTATCTAATAATAGACAAACATAGTAATTGACCGTACCTTCGCCACCCCTTCCATTGGCTAATCAGCGTGATGTGCAAATTAACCACCAACAATGATGGTGGCTAATTTGCATACTGCAGGCAGGGCAGGACAGCGCGAGCCGCCAGTGCGCCGCCATCCAGGGCAGGCCTGCCCCCGCCTTGCCCCAGAAGCCGCCTGATATGGTAAGTAACTTTATCAGTAAGCACTCTGAAAGTCAGTGGCATAAATGTACCAATTAAAAGACAGATTATGAGGGTGAATCAAAAACAAAACCCACTTTAAATATAAAGACACATATACATTAAAAGTAAATGAATTAAGCTGCAGCCTGTTTTGCTCAGTGGATAGAGCATTAGCCCATGGACTGAAGGGTCCCAGGTTCGATTCCAGTCAAGGGCATGTACCTCAGTTGCTGGCTTGATCCCCAGTCCCTATCAAAGCATGTGCAGGAGGCAACCAATTAATGTGTCTCTTCCTTTCCCTTCACTCTCTCTAAAATTCAATGGAAAAATATCCTTGGATGAAGATTAATAAAAACAAAGTAAATGGATTAAGTAACATTAAAGAGATTATAAGAAAAATATATTCCAAATTTTGTTATTTGTATAATGGTTATGTTTAAATTATTAACACCTAAGAAACTGGGTGAAGGGTACATATAATATGCTGTAGTATTTTATAGTTTTTTTTACATGTATGAGATTATTTCAAATTAAAATATTAAAAAATTAAAAATTAATAAAATATTAACTGAAATGTATCTGCATTACATGAAAAATCTCCTAATTGCTTCTAGCATAATTTATTAAATTGTGCTAAAATTTACAAGGGTTCAATGAAAAAATATCTTAATTCTAAATGATATAATAGAAAATATATAATAGTGCAGTTATAAGCACTTATCTGAAAATAAAAATTTAAAGAAGTGAATTTAAAGAAGGGATTAGCCAAAGAAAATATATGCACAACCCATGGACACAGACAACAGTATGGTGATGGCCAGAGAGAAGTGGGGGGCAAAAGCTGGGTAGAGGGGGCAAAAGGGGGGAAATAGGGACATCCTATATAATAAAAGACTAATATGCACATTGACTGAACGGCAGAATGACCAGTTGCTATGATGCGCACTGGCCACCAGGGGGCAGATGCTCAACGCAGGAGCTGCCCCCTGGTGGTCAGTGCACTTCCATATGGGGAGTGCCACTCAGCCAGAAGCTGGCTCATGGCTGGCCAGCACAGTGGTGGTGGCAGGAGCCTCTCCCACCACCGTGGCAGCACTAAGAATGTCCAACTAACGGTTTAGGGGGCCTAAGCCTTTAGTCGGACATCCCCCGAGGGCTCCCTGGCTGCCAGAAGAATGTCTGACTGCAAGCTTAGGCCTGATCCCCCGGGGAGTGGGCCTAAGTTGACAGGTGGACATCCCCCAAGGGGTCCTGGACTGTGAATGGGTGCAGGCCTGGCTGAGGGACCACCGCGAGTGCACAAATTTTTGTGCACCGGGCCTCTAGTTTATAATAATAATTTGTGGTATAGAAACTCGGGGAGGTTAGGATGGGGCAACTGCCTAAGAGAAATTCCTCAGGAGAAACTGACAAGCCAGTAACAACAGTCTGGGCTTCAGGAACATGTTGGGCATGCTCACTCACCTGATCTATCCACAACTTGCCCACGATAATGTTGTGCACCGTTGTGGTAACTTTCTTCCAAGTGTAGTGGTGGCCAGTTTCCTTGAAAATACAGTGGATGGTACCTGGAAGCAGAGAGAGATATACGAATTAAGCCCAATCTTAGAAAAAAAATAGCAGCATGTTAGCTAGAAAAACAATGGATTTCCTTCTTTCAATATTTCTTACTTTTAAAAGGAAAACAATAAGTTAAAAAGTAATTTATAATCTTTTGTTGTTGTTAATCCTCACCTATTTTTTCCATTGATTTTTAGAGAGAGTGGAAGGGAGGATGAGAGACAGAGAGAAAAGAACTGATGTGAGAGAGACATATCAATTGGTTGCCTCCTGAACTTGTCCCATCCGAGGGCCAGGGATCGAATCTGCAACCGAGATATGTGCCCTTGACCAGAATCAAACCCGCAACTCTTCAGTCTGCAGGCCGATGCTCTAACCCAGGGGTGGGCAAACTTTTTGACTCGAGGGCCACAATGGGTTCTTAAACTGGACCGGAGGGCCGGAACAAAAGCATGGATGGAGTGTTTGTGTGAACTAATATAAATTCAAAGTAAACATCATTACATAAAAGGGTACGGTCTTTTTTTTTTTTCAGTTTTATTCATTTCAAACGGGCCGGATCTGGCCCGCGGGCCATAGTTTGCCCATGGCTGCTCTAACCACTGAACAAAACAGGCTAGGGCAGAATTAATAATCTTTTTTTTTTTTTAATATATTTTTATTGATTTTTTACAGAGAGGAAGGGAGAGAGATAGAGAGTCAGAAACATCGATGAGAGAGAAACATCGATCAGCTGCCTCCTGCACATCCCCCACCGGGGACGTGCCGCAACCCAGGTACATGCCCTTGCCCGGAATCGAACCTGGGACCCCTCAGTCTGCAGGCCGACGCTCTATCCACTGAGCCAAACCGGTTTCGGCTAATAATCTTTTTTTAATAATCTTCTTAAATGATGGAAGCACTGACTGAATTTTTTCACTTGATTTTAAAATTTGTGAATAAAACATAACTGATGACAAATACTGACAACTGATACAGCTTAGCGAGGAAGCAAGAGTGCACAAGCGTAGAAATAAAAAATGAAAGCAAAACCCCCAATCTTTTCTCCACCTGTGACCGCCATACTAGCTGCAAAATGTCTAGGAATTGGTCAAATCTGAACTAACATGTAAAAATAAAATGCATTGTGGAAAGTAGCATACATTGGTAGGTAGTACTGGGGCCAGGCCCTATTTCTTGGTAACTAGCTGTGTGACTTTCAGCAAATCACTTATCTAAGGGCCTTAACAATAAAAAAGGAGTAGCGGATAGAGCTGTGGCTTTGGAATCAGAACTGAATTAAGTTCTGGCTCCACTACTCATTAGATTTGTGACCCAGTGTTGTGTAATAAAGAATTTGTCTGCTTTTTGTCCATGGTTCTGGGAAGAAACCTCTACAACCTTGGAATTTCCCAAGTGATAGCAATATTTTGTTATTCCTGGGGATCCTGAAAGTTTATGTCAAAGAGTCATCACGGTAGGGCCCTAGATAGCTATGCTAACAAGATGGTTCAGGATGAGGGCAGGCCAGAAAGACTAACCATGACTCAGAGTTACCTGATAAAGGCTGGATCTCCCAACCTCCTGGGAATGATATTCCCAGGCCTGGACATTGAGTTCAATCACCAGGCCTATGATTCAGTCAACCACGCCTATATAAATGAAGCCTCTGGACAGTGAAACTTGGAGGCACGTCCTGGTGGGTAAACACATCAACGTGCCAAGAGGGTCATGCTCCCTGATTCCATGGGGAGAGGGCATAGTCTCTATGTTCAGGGCCCTCCCAGACCTCACCCTATGTGTGTCTTCATTTGGCTGGTCCTGATCTGTACCCTTTGTAATAAAACTGTAATAATGAGTATAACATTTTCCTGAGTCCTGTAAGTCATTCTAACAAATTATTGAACTTGAAGGATTCGTGGGATCCCCTGAATTTATAGTCAGTCAGTCAGATGTGCAAGTGGCCTAGGGATCTCCTACTTGTGGCTGACATCTGAAGTGAGGGTTGACTTATTGGAGACTGTACCCTTATCTTATGTGGTTGGTATTAACCTGGGTGGTTAGTGTCAAAACTGCATTACAGTACTACACCCTGGGGATGTTTTTTTTTTTTTATTGCATATAACAATTTCTCTCACACCCACACATAAATTCTGTTAGCTTCCCTGGCCACTGGGGTCTGTGAGAGGGGAAGTCTTCTCCTCCCTTCCCCAGAGGAAGGGCTCCTGAGATGGCCAGACAGAGGGTGGTGTCAGGGCCAGGAGGAGTGTGCCTGTGGCCCTCTTCACTCCTAGTCCAGGGGACCACCCTCTGTACAGTCAGGAGCTGCCGTGGCTGAGCATATGAGTGTGAAAGTGGGTGTCCCCATGCAAACCTGTATGTCTGTTCCCGGCAGGCCCCAAGCAGCAGACGAGTGCGGTGGTTTAGAGCAGAGACTCTGGAGTTAAAATCCCAGTTCTTGTGTTCCAGTTGAGCTCTAGCTGTGTGGCCTTGGGCAAGTTGCCTAACCTCATAACTTGAGACCAAGATTTTTTTTTTTTCTTTTTCTTTTTTTCTTTTTTACTACTAGTTAAGGTATTACAAATGTGTCCTCATCCCCCTCATTAACCCCAACCTCTCCCTCCCCAAGATTTTTTTTTTAAATATATATTTTTTTAATTGATTTCAGAGAGGAAGGAAGAGGGAGAGAGAGACAGAAACATCAATGATAAGAAAATCATTGATTGGCTGCCTCCTGTACGCCCTACTGGGGATCGAGCCTGCAACCCAGGCATGTGCCCTTGGCCGGAATCGAACTTGGGACCCTTCAGTCCACAGGCTGACGCTCTATCCACTGAGCCAAACTGGCTAGGGCCCTGGGGATGTTTTTAACTTTCCTAGGCCTCAGTTTCATCCATCTGTAAATTTGGGGTAATCATATCCTGTGCAGTAAATGTCTGTTTATTTACTCAGTAACATGCTAGACACATAATAAGCACTCAGTGGATATAGTCTCCTCCTATTTCTATGAGGTAATCTCCAATGAATACCAAATCAAAATCAGTTAGTTGTTTGAATAGAGGTGACTGAAAATTCAAAATAATAAAAAAATTTAAAGATATGTACATATATTTTTATTATTTTGAATCATATATATATAAAATAACAGTCAATTCCCTCTGTAACCACTAGTGAAAAGGACACATGTGGCTTGGTGTGCCTTTCTTGCACAAAAGGTTAAAGTATCCCTGGTAGCTGAAGCAGCAGATGATGATGACAATGACACTGACAATAATACTAGCAACTCTGTGAGAGCACTACTGTGAACCAGACACTGTGCTAGGTTCTCCTCATATCCCATCTCACTTCATCTTCACAACCATCTTAAAAATATATCCAAATCTCTTGCTCAACACCTCTCCCACCACCACTGCAGACTAACACACCATCCCCCCTTGCCAGAACCTCTGTAACAACTTCTTTTTGGTCTCCCAGCTTCCACTTTTGCCCCCTTAAAGTCTCTAGTCAAAATAATGTGTTTAAAACATGGCATATCAACTTAACACTGCAAAAAAATCTCTCAATGACTTCCCACTGTATTTCGAACAAAACCCTCTCAACTCATCCATCATGTTCCTCCTCACTCACTCTGAACTACCTACTGTAGCCCTGTTGCTTCTCAAATAGGCTATGCTTGCCCCCAACTCAGGGCCTTTATCTTTCAGGTTCACTCTGCCTGGAAAGCTCTCCCCCAAATCATCTTTTGGTTGATGTAACCTTTTCAGGGAGGATTTCCTTGACCACCCTATCCAAGGAACCACACACAGACACACAGACACAGACACACACACACACACATTTCTCATTTACCCCTATCTCCACTTTATTTTCTTTGTAGATTTGCCACATATAAAGTTATTTATATATTTACTTTTTGTCTACTTAAGAAAAGAATGCAAGCTAAATGAGAGCAAAATGGCTTTTGTTCACCACTGCACCCACAGCACTTAGAATATTTCCTGGCATATAGTGATACTCAGGTAACTGTTGATACTTCAGCTATAAACACTGTTTGTTTCCTGTGGCTGCTGCGACCAATTGACACAACTTAATGGCTTAAAACAACACAATTTATGCTCTTACAAGGTGGGAGCGGGCTAGAAGAGATCAATAGTGGAAAAGCAGGGACATGTAATACTTCCAACAACATAGATTTAACTTAAAATATAATAATAAAAAATATATAAATAAACACAGAGCCATTTCAAATGTATGAAGAGGAAGATAGCCACTTCCAGAATGGTGGAGTAAGGACTTCCATGTATCTGCTCAAAAAATCAACAAGAGTACTAGCAAACATTATCAGAATCAAATATTTTGGATCTCTGAAAATTAAACAAAGGCTTACAATAATTCAAGCAGCATTTATTCAAGACAAATGGCTGAACCTCAGTAAGAAAAATGAGCTACGTGGCAGGCATTTTAACTTGCTCTCTTCCCACCCTCCTCTCACCAGATTGACAGTAGCCTTGATTTCAGCCTAGCAAACATTTCTGGGGAGCCTCACACTTCACCAGTAAGTATGAAGCTCCCTAAAAGCCCCATCTTCAAAACACTGTCATTACCTGGCCATTGTGGTGGTTCCTGGTAAACTCCCACTCACAGGGCTTATCTTTATTTGACCTGACTCAGCGCCTGGTCACCTTGAATAGCCTTTTCCCTGGGTGATTATCAAAACCATCAGTGGCAAGTGATGCTCTAACACAAGAGCTGCCTGAAATGGTGATAAGAGTTGGAGTAGTTGAAGAAATATAGGCCAGAAATTACCCAAAATTGACAAACTCCTTAACCTACACAGCCAAGAAGCTCAATGAACTCCATGTAGGATAAACTCAAAGAGCACACACTGAGATCTATCATAATAAACTATTAAAAGACAAAGACAACATCTAGTAGGTTTGGCTCAGTGGATAGAGCATCAGCCTGCAGACTGAATGGTCCCAGGTTCGATTCCAGTCAAGGGCACATGCCCAGATTGCAGGCTCAATCTCCAGTGTGGGGCATGCAGGAGGTAGCTGATCAATGATTTTCTCTCATCATTGATGTTTCTACCTCTTTCTCCCTCTCACTTCCTCTCTTAAATCAATAAAAATATATTTAAAAAAAAAAAGACAAGGACAAGACAAATCTTGAATCTAAGAAGTGATGTACTACATAGAAGTGCTCCTCAAGAAGATTGTCAGAAACCATGGTGGCCAGAAGGCAGTAGGATGTACATTCAAAATGCTAAAGGTAAAAAATAGTCAAACCAAAAATTCTATATCCAGCAAACATATTCTTATTAAACAAAGAACATAAGACATTCCCAGCTAAACAAAACCTGAAAGAATGCCTAGCTAGCAGGTCTGCCCTTCAAGAAATACTAGTCCTTCAGGCTGAAATGAAAGACAGTAACTTAAATCTACATTGAGAAATAAAAGAGATCAGTAAAGAAAACTACAATCAAACTATATAAAATACGGTACAAATGTATTTTTTGCTTGCAATTTTTTCTTCTATATGAGTTAAAAGACAACTGCATAAAGGAACAGTTATAAAACTATGTTAATATGTAAAAAAAAATACAGTTTGTATGAAAATAAAAGCACAAAGGAGGGGAAAGGTAATGGATCCATATAGGTGGCAAAGTTTTTGTACACTATTGAAATTAAATTGGTATTAACCTGCACTAGATTATTAGAAGTTAACTGTAATACGCAGGATACCCACTATGAAAATATCTTTAAAAATACAGTAAAAGGGGACGCTTTCCCCCTCCCCATGTGGGAGTCTGTACTTGTTCTTTAATAAATTCCACCTTTACTATACAAAAAAAAAAAAAAAATACAGTAAAAGAAATAACAAGGGAACTAAAATGGTAAATTTAAAAAATATCTACTTAATACAAAAAAGGTACTAATGGAGGAATAGAGGAACAAAAAAGACATAGGATGTACAAAAAAATACCAAATAGTGGATGTAATCCTTACCTAATCAGTACTTATAATAAATGTAAATTGATTAAACACTCTAATAAAAAAAACACTTAGAAATTGGGAGAGCAGATAAAAGGGGATATGAAGGGGATTTTTTAAAAGATATTTTTATTGATTTCAGAGAGGAAGGGAGAGGGCGAGACAGAGAGAAACATCATTGATGAGAGAGAATTATTGATAGGTTGCCTTCTACATACCCCCATTGGGGATTGAGCCCCCAATCCAGGCATGTAGCCTGACCAGGAATTAAATTGTGACCCTCTGGTTCATGGGTCGATGCTCAATCACTCAGCCACACCAGCAGGGCTATTCCTATTTTTTAAATATACACACGACCCTCTTAGAGATCCTCAGGTGGCCTCGCAGGTGAAAAATCATATTACAATATGACCCTAGTTCTGAAAATTAGGTGTGAACATCCCAGGTATTTACTACTATTAACTTAATACTTCTGAAATTATTAGCTTCAAAGATAATTAAACAATTAGAACCTTTTTAAAGGTCCCCATAAAAGATCAAGACCAAAAGTGCTTGATCTCCTTTTCATCTAAGAGCCTTTTGCATATTAATCATGAAGTAGCAGAATTAACACTCCAGTTTCTTTTCTCCTTTTGTAATTATAAACATTCCTGGGTTTTTTCCTGGCTAATTTCTAGTTTTCACTATAACTGCCATATTTTCTGTTTCTGAGAGAAAAGGAACTCATAAAAAAAAAAACGAGTGCTGCTGAAACTGGTTTGGCTCGGTGGGTAGAGCGTCGGCCTGTGGACTGAAGGGTCCCAGGTTCGATTCCGGTCAAGGGCGTGTGCCTGGGTTGTGGGCACATCCCCAGTAGGCGATGTGCAGGAGGCAGCTGATCGATGTTTCTCTCTCATCGATGTTTCTAACTCTTTATCTCTCTCCCTTCCTCTCTGTAAAAAAATCAATAAAATATATTTAAAAAAACAACAACAACAACAAAAAAACGAGTGCTGCACTAGCTGGTTTGGCTCAGTGGATAGAGACTCCGCCTGCAGACTGAAGGGTCTCAGGTTCAATTCCAGTCAAGGGTATGTGCTTGGGTTATGGGATCAATCCCCAGTAGGGGATGTGCAGGAGGCAGCCAATCAATGATTCTCTCTCATCACTGATGTTTCTATGTCTCTCTCCCTCTCACCTTCCTCTCTGAAATCAATCCTATCTAATAAAAGAGAAACATGGTAATTGGCGTACGACCGCTACCCTTCCCATTGGCTAATCAGGGCAATATGCAAATTAACTGCCAGCCAAGATGGCGGCCGGCAGCCAGGCAGCTTGAAACTAACATGAGGCTTGCTTGCTTCAGTGACGGAGGACTCCAAAGTTCCCCACCTGCCGCTGCAGGCCTCTGAGCTGCAACTCTAAGCAACTATGTAACAAATATAGAAGCTAAACAAAACCCCAGAAACCTGCTTTAGTCCGCCTGGCTTCAGTCAGCAGGATCACAACATTGTAAGCAAAGGCCAGAAACCTACTTTCAGCAGCGGAGGCCTAAGAGCTGGAGCCAAGCCTCAAAGCTAAAGCTGGCCCAGAATAAAAAAAAAAAAGAAAAAAAGGAGCAGTTGGGAGCTTCAGTCACCCCCAGCCTGAAAACAGCCCTCAGCCCCTCACCCAGACTGGCCAGGCACCCCAGTGGGGAACCCCACCCTGAAGGGGGTGTGACCAGATGCAAACAGCCATCATCCCCTCACCCAGGCTGGCCAGGCACCCTAATGGGGACCCCCACCCTGATCCAGGACACCCTTCAGGGCAAACGAGCTGGCACCCACCCGTGCACCAGGCCTCTACCCTATATAGTAAAAGGGTAATATGCCTCCCAGCACCAGGATCAGCAGAGCCGCGAGGCCTCCCGGCACCGGGATCAGTGTGACAGGGGGCAGCGCCCAAACCCCCTGATCGCCCTGCGGCTCTGTGTGTGACAGGGGGCGGGGCCACAACCTCCCTATCCACCCTGCTCTGTTCGTGACAGGGGAAGGCGCCCCAACTCCCTGATCAGCCCTGCTATGTGCCTGATAGGGGGGAGCTTCCCAACCCCCTGATCGCCCTGCGGCTCTGTGTGTGACAGGGTGCGGCGCCCCAACACCCCCATGCCCCGACGGGCCCTGCTGTGTGTGTGACGGGGTAGAGCCATAACCTCCCCAACGGCCCTGCCCTGAGTGTGAGAGTGGCGGCGCCCCAACCCCCTGATTGGCCCTGCTCTGTGCATGACAGGGTATGGAGCCCCAACCCCCCGATGGGCCCTGCTCTTGAGTGACAGGGGGCAGTGCCCCAACCCCGACTGGCCCCGCTCTGTGCGTGACAGGGGGTGGTGCCGCAACCTCCCCATCGACCCTACCCTGAGTGTGACTGAGGGTGGCATCACAACCTCCTGATCGCCATGCTCTGTGCATGACAGGGGGCGGCGCCCCACCTCCCCAATCGGCCCTGCTCTGAGCCTGACCAGGGGCTGCACCTAGGGATTGGGCCTGCCCTCTGCCACCCGGGAGCAAGCCTAAGCCAGCAGGTCATTATCTCCCGAGGGGTCCCAGACTGCGAGAGGGCACAGGCCGGGCTGAGGGACCCCCCTCCCTCCCTGAGTGCACAAATTTTTGTGCACCGGCCTCTAGTAAAAATATATATTTTTTAAAAAAAAGATGATTGCAGTGCACTAATCAAACACTGCAGCCAGGCTTCCTGGAATATGGAACCAGGACACAGAAAGCCGCAGGAGCTCAGGCAGGTGCTGTCAGATGACTCTATAGAGCTATTTGGTTTCTCTCTGCCTGCTTTGGGTTTCTTTTTATGTAGATCGACATTTGCTCTTCAGCACACACATGGCCAAACGTGGGCTGCTCTAGTTCAACAGAATATGGAGAATCTCTGCTACATTTCCCCTACAATACAGACTCTCTAACATTGTTTATTAGGATTCCTATTCTCAGGCCTGGTCTTCTTGATCTTGGAGCAAAATTAACTTGTCATCCAATAGGATCTTTCATGTTTTGTGTTTGTTTTTAAATCTTCACCCAACGATATTTTTCCATTGATTTTTAGAGAGAGTGGAAGAGAGGGGAAGAGACAGAGAGAAATTTGGATGTGAGAGAAACACATCAATTGGTTGCCTCCTGCACAAGCCCCAACCACAGCTCAGGCCGGGGAGGAGCCTGCAATGGAGGTATGTGCCCTTGATGGGAATCGAACCTGGGACCCTTCAGTCCGCAGGCTGGCACTCCACCTACTGAGCCAAACCAGCTAGGGTATGGATCTTTTAAAATAAAATTTCCTGCCTTAGTCGGTTTGGCTCAGTGAATAGAGCGTAGGCCAAGGACTGCAGTGTCCCAGGTTCGATACCAGTCAAGGGCATGTACCGTGGTTGCAGGCTTAATCCCTGGCCCTGGTTGGAGTGTACGAGGAGAGGCAACCAATTGATGTGTCTCTCTCACACTGATGTTTCTCTGTCTTTCCCCCTCCTTTCCACTCTCTGAAAATCAATGGAAAAATATCCTTGGATGAGAATTAACAAAAATAAATAAAGTTTTCTCTTACCTGGAAGTCAACCTTTACATAAATGATATCTAACCCATCCGATAGAGGAAGAGAGGGTAGAAAGGAGAAGGGGGAGGGATAGCTGAGAAACCGCACCTTGTAGTCACAATATTTTTTATTTACAGAGAGAACTCAATTGCTAGGGTAATGATAGAAACACCAGTTAAGAGATAGAATCTTTTTGTATGTTAAAATTTATATTTTAAAATAGTACTTAAAGATGCATTAAATATAGCTAAGAAGACAAAAAATGTATAATTGGATAGGTCCTTAAAACCTCATGCCTCCTCACTCAATCAACAGCTGAGACGTTAAATGACTTGTGTAGAGCTAGCAATAAGGTTCAGGGCCCAAATCAGACTTTCAGTCTCCTGACTCTACCATGCCAGAGGTTCCTTATTCCGGGCGCACTAGTTCTTACAAAGATGGTGGCCTTACCAAGTGGCATAATGGAGAGGTATTTGCCTCGAAACTTGCTGGTGATTTTGATTTCCTGACGCAATGTCCAGCCATTTTTTGACTCAGCATGGTGTGCAGCAGCCGGGGGATGATGACTCACCTTGAAGAAATCAGTGATTCAAATTAAGAAGAAAGGAAGGAAAAGGAGAAGGTATTACCTAGTAACTGGTGGTGAACACCCGAAATTCATACTTGCCATTTTTACACTTATACCAGCGTAGAAGCCTGAAGGAAAAAAAGGCAGTGTGGGATGACAGGGACTGGAATTTCTGCAAACACAACACCAGGGGAGTGGTGGTGGGGGGAGGGGAGCGGAGGGGAGGAGCAACCAACAAATCATGCCTTTCTTAAAAAAGAAAAAACGTATCACCACCCCGAGGCACCTTTACCTGCTCACAGATGGATCGGAACCCGTTCTCTTCTAATCGGTCTAGTTCAAAAGTCTCCCCAAGGAGTGGGTTGAATGGCTTGCTGGTACGGGAGACAGTAGTGGAGTAGGAAGACACGGTGAAAGCTGCAACATAACAGAGCTGTTCTAGAGAGTTCTCACATTTTGCAGCTCGATCTAACAGCTCATGGTATTCCAGATCTTCAGTAAGGCGCTGAAGCATGGATAAGGGTTCATTAAAGTTTACCTGTCAGGAGAAAACAGATATAAAAACTTTGCCCACACATCTATTGGAGACAGATTAATTTTTCTGCAGGTGGAGAAACATACTTAGTTGTCATGGTGATAAAGCGAATCACTAGGAAGAGGCCTTTGCTCGGTAGAACAACTCTAAGACCTAACCTGGAAGCAATCCATTCTCCCTAGTCAACTGTTCATGTCAGTGAGTGGTATACACCACCTTTTCATTTACTATAAACTCTTTGCGATGGGAACCATGCCTCCTGTTCATCACTGCATATGCAGTTACCAGTGCCTCACACAGGAGACTATCATCAAAATAGGTAATGAATGAATAAAAGAGGAAATGTATTTTAGCACAAGTATACCCAAAGAGGAAATTAGGTATTTAACATTGTTGAGGGAGGAAAGAAAGAGTAGTAATTTTTAAGTATAGGCATGTCTTGGCTAGTGAAACAAAAACATTACAAAAGTTAGCTTTTACTCCTGGACCAGATGATCTCTAAGTATCGGTTCAGTTCTTCATCAGGCCAGGATTCTGAGTTCTTAGCCCTGAGGCTGGACAGTTGTTTTCTTGGACCTGGAGTGCTCTTAATGGGACTTAGAGCCAACTTAGGGCACTCAACCACTGAATATCTGTGTATTTCTGCTGGGGAGAAGACAGATGTTCATTCACCTGAGCATTCACTTACTCATTCCACAAGTATTTATGGAGCCCTCATGTGCGTCAGACCCTATGCTACTCACTGGGTGTAGAGAAGGGAACAAAAGAGACACTGTCTCCCCAGTATCCGCCTTAAAAACAGCATTACTGTCTAAACTGACTGGGATTTAAGATGACATTAGTTATTTTTAAAAATGCTATACAAAAACAAAAAAACAAACCATTTCAGCTTCTAGGCTAGCCCATAAAGCTTACTTAATCTGCAATACAGCTGAATAGGCCTGGATATCACTAGCTGGAGTTCTGAGTCCAGGGAACAGAAGAAGGAAAAAAAATTCCTTTCTAGTGAATAGAGCTGGCCTACAGCAACATTTCTGTTAAACCAAACCAAAACACTCTTCTTTACAGTCCATCTCTTTTTCATCTTTGTCCAGCCTCCTACCTCCCAATCCCTGAGCCTGATTAGACTCCCCTCATATTTACTGTCCTCCCGATTATAAAACATCTTGTAATTTAAAAATTACATATGAAGCCCTAGCTGGTTTGGCTCAGTGGATAGAGTGTCAGCCTATGGACTGAAAGGTCCTGGGTTCAATTCCAGTCAAGGTCACATACCCAGGTTTTGGGCTCAATCCCCAGTAGGGAGCATGCAGAAGGCAGCGCATCAATGATTCTCTCTCATCACTGATATTTCTATCTCTCTCCCTCTCCCTTCCTCTCTGAAATCAATACAAATATATTTTTAAAAAATTACATATGAAGGAAAAAATTTACCTGAAATGCCATCAGCCAAAGATAACCATTACTTGATAACCATTAATATTTTTATGTTGTTTCTATGTATTTGTACATGTCTAGGTAGTATACTAGAGCCTGCTTTTTCTCGGAGGAATATACCAAGCACTTCTCTGTGAAAATTTCCCAATGAAGACAGAGCCATGGGACCAACATTAGAACACTGCTCTTATAGGAAGTAGAATCTACCCTCCCTCAACAAATAGCACCACTCTCCAAAGTCACCCTTTTGGCCCTGACAGAAGAGCACTGTGACAAGAAACATGCACAACAAGAGGGGGACAGACTGACAGAGCTTCCATCTTCCAAGGTGCTGATTAACTATGCCAACAAAATTTCTCATTGGCAAAATTTCAGGTGACACTAAGTAATATTTCCCGACATTCAGAACTGGGGGTGGGTGGTATCCTCTCCAAATGGCTAAAAGACATCTGAGCACTGCCTGAGACTAGAATCATTGCATTCTTAAGCTATCATTGCTTTTCACACATACACAACCCTGGCCCTGAACTGTTCCTGGAACCATAGTTTCTCTAAAAGTACCAAGTTTTTTATATCAGTCATTTTATCCCTTGGAGGCCTAATAGAAAAACAAACGAATCTGTGAATTTTAAGTGGAAGGAAGCAGAGAACTGGTAGCAGAGAATTGGTTATATAGCTGATGGACAGTTGGGCAGCCCAAAAAGACAAGCTGGAGATGAGTAACAGCAGGGACAGAGAAAAGCAGTGGTGTTACTGTGGTCCAGAGCCTGAGGCATCAGGCAGAAGCTAAGACCCCTGTAAGTACCTTGGAGTTTCTCCCTACTCCAAACTCCTCCTGGTACCTGGCACTGGTGGAGCTTCCGTGCCAGCAGACACAGAAGTCCGAGCAACATCCTAGGGGGACCAGCTTTCCTATGACACAGCACAGGGCAGGGCAGGGCGAGGACTAGACCTGGAAGCAAACAGGTACAGGACTGCACATTCCTAGTGGCAAAGTCAACAAGGAACTAATGGTAAAGGAGGACGGGGAGGTCACCTGCACTCGGAAGTGGTTTCTAAGCAGGGTCTGCGTTTCCAAGGCTGTGGAGACCTGCCTCTCCAGGGCACCTTCCCAAGGCGCTTCCTTCAAGGCACCAGACAAGTGGGGCATCTTTTTAGGCCCCCAATAAACCAGTTATTTTGTTTCACTCAAGGCCTTTTCTGGAGGTCAACATTTTTCTAACAGAAATCATACACACTTACATATAAATTTATTTGTTTTCCAAGATCCAGTTAACTAACCACTTCAACATTTGCTAAACAGTGTATGTGCTAGGTACTGGGGAAGCATCAAGGTTACAAAGACAATAAGACAGAGTCTCTGTCCATGAGGAACGCAGTCCATGGTCACTGGTCAATAAGCCCCACGAGGGGAGGAGAATGCTCTCTGTATTTCTGTATGCCACGGGCCTGGCTATGGGTAGAACCTGCAGCCACTCTCCACTATCTATTCTTCCCTCCTTCTACAAGTAGTAGAACCCCCAATTTTTAACTAGGTTATGCTACCAAAAATAGTCTTCATTGCCAGCCTCTTCCCCAGCTAGCTGTGGCCACATAACTAAGTTCTGGCCAAAGAGATTGAAGTGCAAGGGTTTATGCAATTTCCAGGAGCAAGCCCTTCTTTTCTTTCCTTCCTGCTGGCTGGAATGAGACCCTGAAGGCCCACATTGGAGCAGTCACGTAGGACCTAGAAACGGAGGCCACAGGCGGCAGAGCAAGAGGACAGAAAGAGCCTGGTCTGGACACTGCAGAGCACAGTACCAGCCCTGAGCCACCTACTTCCTGACTTTCACATGACATGAGATAAGCTAATATTTGTTTAAGGCAGGGGTTGGCCAGGCTCTTTCTGAAAAAGGTAAAATAACAAATATTTAAGCTTTGAGGGCCATATGGTCTCTATCACAATCATTCAATTCTGCTCTTGAAGGACAAAAGCAGCCACAAGAAGCAATCGAATAAGTGTCACTGTGTTCCTATAAAACTTTATAGACACTAACATCTAAATTTCATATAATTATCACGTTATGAAAAATTATCCTTCTTTTAATTTTTTCAGTCATTTAAAAACATAAAAACTGAAATTTATATAATCTTATTAACCAATGTCATTCCAATAAATTTAAACAAGCAAGTGATATACACTGCCCAGACATAAACGATAGAACCTGAAGCACAGGAGAGGTAACATCTCACCCTGACCAGATGCATGGATGAAACTGTGCTGAAACCTGAAGAAAAGGGTATTTATTAAAAAAAAAAAAAAAAAGTGGCAAGGGTGGGTGGGAAGCTGTTGAAATTTCGAGCAGAAAGAGCAGTGTGTGCAAATGCCCCGCGGGAAAAGACAAGAGGCCTCCGAGTACCTGAAGGGAATTCCTAATGACCAGAACACCTGATGTGTGAGCACAGCTTGTGCTCAGGGAGGAAGCAGCAAGCCCACCAAGGAATCTGGTGTACTCTCAAAGCCACAGAGGTCTAGTGAAGGACTTTCAGCTAAGGAGTGACATGACCACATAGTCAACAAAAAGATCACTTTGACAACAGTGTGGACAGGCTGGAAGAGGGCGTAATTGGAGACAGGGAAGTCAGCCCAAACATCATGGCAATGGTCCTCACCTGCTTGGTTGAACTGCTTTTGTTTCTATGCTCCCCAAACATTTGTATGCACAGTACTTCAAACAACACTATCATAGGAAATATCTTCATGTTTGTCTCCTTTAAACCGCATATTTTTTGAAAATAGAGACTATTATCTTTGCATGGCTAGCATAGGAATCTGCTCTTAAATAAACTACTGACACAATGCATCTGATTCTAGGTGATCTGGAACACACCAGATCCACAGCTCACACTGGAGCAGATCACTGTAAGGGACAAAGGGTAACAAAGACCATTGCACAGATTGCCACAGCCGTGGGAGGGACCGTCACAGCAGCTCCCTTCCACTGAAGCCTGGTGTAAGAACCTCACCGGCATGGGGATCTTAGAGAGTTCTTTTCCGATGCAGTTCTTCATGATGCTCCACAGATTGAGACTATAGTTGGGTTTGTATGGTATTTTAGTTCTCTTTTCCTTCTTGGTCTCTTCCAGTTGATGCTTGTACTAAGAACAAAACAAAGCCATTCAATCTCCCACAAAGAACAGAAACCCAGTATTATAACCTTCCCTTCCCCCATGCTAAAAAGAATTTCTAAAAAAACAACAATCAGTACTTTCTGTTTCTCTTGGTGCGTTACAAGCAAATCCTTGAGAATCACACCTCAAGTCCCTCACTTCAGATAACTCCCAAATAAGAGTTACCTGTTCATCAAGGCTGATGTCACTGCTGGCTCCACTGATGTTGCTGCCAGTACGTCTACACGGATGGGAAATGTATGAGAATTAGAACAAAGACCAGAACTAGAGTTTGGTCCTCGCCATTCTTTACAAAGCAGAATGCTAAGCATGCTGCACAAACTTAATGGGTGATCGAATGACACGTAGAATAAAATATGTCTGAACTTAAAACATCTCTGGTCAGGTAAAAAAGCTAACAGTTTCCACTTACTCAAGGAAAAGGTCCTAGATCTCAGTATGATACTCCCCTTGAAGCATTTCTAACCTGTGGATGGTCAGATACGTTTATTCTTATCAGGATCAAAGATAACTTACTTGTGGCCCAAATTTTCAGGCATGGTGATGATCTCAGGAGCATCAAAAAATTCATTCTCATCATCCTCATCACTCATGTCTCCTTTGCCGGAGCAGCACTGATCTGCAAGGAGAAAAGCCTTGTTTATTTACTTTGGTCAAAACGTGGCTCAGCAGGATTTTAAATACGAGTCACAAACAAAGCAACAGGTGGTAGAAAGCAGTGGAAAAGACAGAGGAAATCCGTGGCACCAATTGCATTTCACATGAGTCACTGATTCCGGAGAACTTGGAGTTCTTCTACCAACTGCAGAAAACGCCCTGGCTCCACTCAGAACAGGCTACCCAGAAGCCCAGCTTCTTACCTTTGCCTGGACCCGCACTGCCAGAAGGGTGTGCCGGCAGCACCGTGGCTCCTCGGAAAGCCCTCTCCAGATGGTTATGCTGCTTTGCCAACTGCTCCAAGGTCTCCTCCAGCCGGATCCTCTGGTCTCGCTCATACTGCAGTGACTTCTGCCATTTTTTACTATGGGTCTGGGCTAACGTAAGAAAATCTCTACAAGCCTGTAGGGGAAAAGAGTTAATAAGTGTCACTCAACTAATCAGAGACACCCCTCAGGTCCTGTGAACCCATTCTGGGAACTTTACAGGCAGATTACAAAGGCAGACTTTCCCTGTTAATCCCCAGTAGCAGGGACAGCCAGCTCCAAGAGGCAATGAAGGTCGACTCCAGAAAACAAAATGAGCATGGTTGTCACGGTTCTTTCATATTTTCCTGGTCATGAGGACTAACCAAATGCCAAGGGAGCAATAAACCTAGACAAAGTATTTGTGGCAACATCACAGAGGGCAGCTATGTGAACTACACCGAAAAAAAAAAAATCTATCGACTGAAAGAAAGAGGAGGAAAAGCATAGGACTGTTTTCAATAAATTCTCCACTAAACCCAAGTCACCTAAAGCTGAAGAATTCAGGCACTGAGAGTAGAGCATCTGCACTGAATTGACCAAATATGGGGACACTGACTTTGTTTTTATTTTGGTCACTAAGAGAAACAACTGACCATAAAAATTAGAAGCCTACCTGAGGAATCAAAGGAAGGCTCTAGAGACAAAACACAAATCCTGATCAGATCACTGGCTCCCTGCTGGTACTGGGACCAAATCAAAATCACTGGTTATGAATATAAAGGACCCTTCACAGGTTACCACCTGCTTTTTATCCTCCTCGCCAGGCTCCTGGTGATTCCCATTTCCTGGAGCGACATATTTCTGTCAGGCCTGCCTAAGTATCATAGCATATGCTATTCGCTGTGCTTAAGAATGCTCTCTCCTCCCCCTTTTCTCTACTTGGCCAAGACCTCTTCATTGTTTCAGATCTATGGCAAATGTTTTTCTTCTGTGACACTCCTCCACCCCCCAGTCGCTTAAGCACCCAGTCTCTTCTGTACATTTCCACAGCACTTGGCACACACCTCTATTCTATACCAGCCACAGCAGCCGCATGACTGATGTACAGTATATCCAGATGTATCATACACAACTTGAAGACACAATTTATGGTTAATTCATATACTTATCTTCAGCTCCTTAGTAGCTTTGTACATAGTAGGAGCCTGATAAAGTTTGCTTCATAAATAAATAAAGCAATGTATATTTAAAATTAAATGCCCTGTTCTAGAGAAACTATAAGGTAAGTAAAATTTCTCCACCCATGGTTTCGATTATTGCCTCTAGGCTAAATGACTGTGAAATCAGTAATTCCAGCTCTGTGCTCATGGAGCTTTCAGACCAGAATATCCAGTTGCCTATTCAGTGGCTCAAAGTAATCTTAAAATCTGTGGGTCCCAAAGTGAACTCACCATGTTCCCTTTCTGACTCTGCTTCTCCCTCGGTGTGCCCCATGGCACAATCATTCCAGGGCCCTTCCACGTACCCAAGGCAAAAAACCAAGCCACATCCTTGATTCTGAGTTTTTAGTACCTCCCACATCCAACTATCTAGTCCTATCAATTCTTCTTTAATGTTTCTGGAATTGCATACTTCTTTCCATCCTCCATACTCAGAGGCAGAACATACACTGGAGTTGGGTTGTTGGGGCTCTAATCACAGCTCCATCTCACTATCTAGCTATATGGAACTCTAGGCAAGCAATTTAACCTCTCTGTGCTTCATCTTCCTGATCTGTAAACAAAAAGTAACAACAGTAACTACCTTAACCATTTGTACGCCATAAGCATCTATAGACGCAAGCAGCAGACCTTTTTTAATTGAATTCAAAATATTGTGGTAGTTAACTGGTTAAAGAGTTGCAGCTTTATATATAAAGCATTTAGAACCAATATGGCTCACAGTAAGCATTCAACAAGGTGTCAGCTATTATACTAAGTCTGCACCAAAATCGATCTTAACCTCTTTTAATGCACTACTACCAAACCCAGTTAGTATGATCTGCACCTCATCTTCTCCACACTCAATTCCTTTCCAGTCTCATCTCTAACTGCTACTTGCTCCACTAATAATCAATTACCAGCAGTTCCCAGACTTTGGAAAGAAGGAGGAATCTGCTTAGGCCACACCTCTACCTGGATCAACTCTTCTCTTTCACTTCCTTTTAATAATATTGATCACAACTAATATTTAGTGAGACACAATTACATCAAACATTTGCTGAACACTTTATATCAATCTACATATATAAAACCCTAATATGCAAATAGACTGAACTGTGGAACAACCCAACAACCGGTCACTATGATGTGCACTGACACCAAGGAGCACACGCAGAACATGAAGGGCATCGGCCACGGCGGGATGGTGGAGCAGGTGAGTGGGGGCACCAGACCAAGGCGGGGTGCTGGTCGCTGTCATTGGGGCGAGCCTCTGGTGATTACTGAAAATTCTTTGCTCTCACATGCTGCGGTCCCGCTGGGCACTTGCACCTGCACCTGCTGCCGGCACCAGAGTTGCTGCTCGACCCGCTGCCGGTGCCCAGCGCCAGCCCCAATTACTCGGTGCTGTCAGTGGGTGCAAGCGGTGGCTGCTGGTCCCAATCGCCCCTCAGGGCTTCTCCACCTCCCCTGCTCCTGAGGAGCAATCGGGGCTGGCAGCCGCCACTCACACCCACTGCCGGTGATGGCCCCGCTCGCACCTGCTGCCAGTGCCAGAGCTGCTGCTCACACCCGCAGCCGGCCCTGATTGCCCCTGAGAGCTTCTCCACCTCCCCCTGCTCCTGAGGGGCAATCGGGGCAGCAGCTGCTGCTCACACCTGCTCACAGCATCGCTCCACTTGCACCCGCTGACGACACATGGTGAGCGGGGCCGGCGCTGTCAGCACATGGGAGCGGTGGTGGGAGGGACCAGGCAGGGGCGCGGAGACCCACCCCTGTGCCCACCGCAGCCTCACGACCCACAATTCCTTTCAAGGTGCACGAATTCATGCACTGGACCCCTAATTATCTAATAAAAGCCTTTCAACAACTTTGTGAGAAGCTTACTAGTATAGTCATCATTTACCAAAAAGGAATTGAGGTACAGAGGAAGTAGGTTGCCCCAGGCTATATAGTTAACCAAGGCAGCTGAACTTAATTGCCTTTTTCTTTTTTAAAAAATATATTTTTATTGACTTTAGAGAGGAAGGGAAAGGGACAGAGAGAGAAATATCAATGATGAGAGAGAATCACTGATCCAATGCCTCCTGCATGCCCCCTATTGGAGAACAAGCCCACAACCCAGGCATGTGCCCTAACTAAGAATCAAATCATGACCTCCTGGTTCATAGGTCATCACTCAACCACTGAGCCACGCTGGCCGGGCTAACTGCCTTTTTTCATAGGCAGGCTCTCTTTGGTCTTTCAGAATTCAGCTGAATTCTAATTCTATACGCTATATCAGCAGCCTGTGCTCATTTCTGTCATGACTTGTCACAGTCCTACTGATCTGGTAACTTCTCTGTCCCCTCATCAGAGAGTAATGTTCCTGAGGGCAGGGACCACACCCACATCTGTGTTTTTGGTGTTTTTTTTAAAAATATATTTTATTAATTTTTTTACAGAAAGGAAGGGAGAGGGATAGAGAGTTAGAAACATCGATGAGAGAGAAACATCGATCAGCTGCCTCCTGCACACTCCCACTGGGGATGTGCCCGCAGCCAAGGTACATGCCCTTGACAGGAATCTAACCTGGGACCCTTTAGTCTGCAGGCCAATGCTCTATCCCCTGAGCAAAACTGGTTAGGACTGTGTGTGTTTTTTTAATTTATTTTTTTATTGTCTAAAGTCTTACTTATGCCCACATCTGTCTTATATTCCTTAGCATAGTGCCTAGGAGACAAAAGGTACGAAATAGATGTCCACTTAATTAGCAAACGGATATACTAACAGTGTCAAACTTAATCCCCTGCTTAGATTCACTTTGGTAGTAAAAAAAAGCTACAGCCTACGAAACTGAGTAAAATGTATTCTTCCTTTGGGATAAAAGCCCCTTCAGGGATGTGATGTGCTAATACTGTAATTTCCAACATGCATATTACACTATAGGCCTTGCCACTATCACCTAAAAGGTATAAAGGAAAGACAGTGATAAAAAACACATTTTAAGCAATAACCAGCTATGAAAGGGGTACAGGCAGTGCACTAGGCGAGAACAGAATAAAACCCAACTTCCCCCTGACTCCCAAGCAATCATTCCCTGTAACACAACTTAGGGAAGAACTGCCCCGAGGAACAAAAATGAGCACAGTTTCAAAAGTAAAGTGTAAACTAAACTTTCAGTTTTATGAGAAATTTTTTAATCAAGAGGTGTTTTATTTAGCAAATTTTTCACATCTAGAGTAGAAAAAAATTGTCATGGAGTAGGATGCTCACCTGACAAGGATAAGAGGTGACATTCACTACCAGGAGACTTGGGTCTGAGTTGTTCTATTACTTATTCACTATTAATTGGACTGTATGACTTATGAGGACCAGCAGAGCAGGTGTCATTAAGAAGTGCCACAGTCTGGAGAATGAGCACACGACTAGACCTGAGAAACACAGCATCAGTGCTGATGTGCAGAGTCCTGGAGACAGCTGACCTTCCTGCAGTGGACAAGACAACTGTCCTTTCTACCTTCTGTGAGTCAGAGCTCTGAAGATGAGAAAAATTAAACTTCCCCTTTGTCACTGGGAAGACCTTTGATCTCTAGGAGCCACTCAAGAGCCACACTAGTTCTAAAATGTCTTATTACCACTCCCCCAACAAGGGAAAATCTGGCCCTAGTGAAGTAATTTCATCCTATTTAATAAGGGAAGAAAATAAACAACAACCCTGCATAAGCCTTTTCTCACAGAGTCCCCTTCTCACTTATATTATGAAATGTCTTCTAGGGTTTGTTCTCAAGTTGAAACTGCTAAAACAACCTGCCAGGTGAGAATCGGTTACCAATAGAGGAAAAACAGCACTGCTTAAACCAAGTATTCATTGCATACCGATCGCCCAGGATCTGAAATATATCACTAATGCCCATGGGGCTTTGGCTTCATCTAAAGCCTTGCAGCCAAGCAGCAGAAGTACCCCAAACCAGTAACAGCCACTAAGACAGAAGTCACGAGGAGGCAGAGAGGTGGCCCCTTCTTTTTAAACAAAAGTGCCCAAAGCTGAGTGTTATTGTCTTACCACCCAAAATTACCCTTGAAATCAAGGAGTAAAGATGGAATAACTACTATTATAAAGCTCTCACTTGATCCAACCCCCATTTACCACACCGTGGGTGAGAATGCATTAGCAACACAGGGATCAGACTTCAACTTAAAGCTCAAAGAACTTGACAATGGAGGGGCCCATGAGATCTTTTAGTTCCAACAGATAGATCTAGCTCAAAATAAATAAAACCACAATTCAGAGAGTTACAGAATGCAATTAACATCACCATCAGATGTTCTGCTGGTGCCAGAAACAGGGCTGGAACTATGGATTCCTAACTAACTCCAGCAGCATCCTCCTGACCATTTGAGCAGAGCAGGAAAGTCATTCCATCTGTTCACCCCATTCTATTTCATGCAACAAACAATGTAACTTAAATCCCTCGAGCCGCAAAGCAGGACCTAATGTCCTGTACTTTATCAATTACAATTTTCTGGCATTTTGGAAGAATTACATTTTGAAAGAGGGAAAGGACAAAAAAGCCACACAGGCACCATCTGCACTTACGTTGATCATGGCATTGGATGTGATCCTGAAGAGTGTGGCCCGTTCGTTGACCTGCTTGATCTTCTCGTTGCTCTCAGCAGGCAGCCTCAGGGACTCCAGCTCACTGAGGGAGCGCTGCAGCGCGGTGCCGTGCTTGGCTATCAGGTCATTGCATGTGCTCAGGTCCTCCACTTTGCTGGACAGGGTCCGAAGGGTATTCTGCAGCTCTGTTTTGTCAGTTTGTGAGACAGACTCTTCATCTCCTGACTCATCTGCAGAAGCAAAAGGTAACTTACATGATTCCAGGCCCAGAAGTGAGAGCCTGAACCCTGCCAACTCTGCCCACAACCAAACTGACACTCCTCCCATTGTGCGTTCTGACCACCCGACAGCTTGCCATTACCAGACTTCTCCACAGTGTGGTCCACAGCCCACCTGCATCACAAACACCTGGAGTTCTTCTTATAGGTGTACTCACTGGCCCCACCCCCAGGGACTTTGATTTGGCTAGTGTGAGGTAAGGTCCAGAAACTTGCATTTCGAATAAGCCCCCGAATAAGCATTCGAATAATTCTGATGCACACTGAAGTTTCAGAACCTAGAGATCAGGATGGAAAAGCTAACTGGCTCCTGGGGTTAGGTATGAATTACTGAGCCTTTACACTTTAGCATGAGGGTTCCAATCCAGCCCCAGCTGATTATTACTGCAAATCCACTATCACTTGTTAGGTGTTCGGTAGGCCCTGTATGACATGGGCTGAGAATCACAGTCTAGCTCCTTATAAACAAAAGATTAATTAATTTATTTGTCTTTTCTGAAGAGGAGAAGAAAATAAAAAAATTATCTTTTCTGACATTAGAGCAACATTGCACTGAAATCAATGCAAGGTCTTCTGTTAAATGACTCTCCAATAATAAGTCAAGCAGACAGCTATGTTGTACCTCTCGCTACCAAATCTGTACTTAATACTTTTGTAACTGCAAAGTGTTTCTCCAGCAGTGGCACCTCTTTTGGGCAGGGAGCCAAACATCAGCACTAAAATCAAAACAAAAGAAGTAAGGAAAGACCTAACGCACCTGCTAGGCCGAGAGGCAGGGCCAAAATGAAAACATAGCCTGTTACCAGAATGTTTACAAAGCAGTGAACTTTCCTTTCCCTGCCTAGATAATAAATATGGTATGGGAAACGACAGGGGATAAGAAAAACAACACGTGAACACAAGTCAGCAGATGACCATCTTGGTCAGCTCCAAGTGAACAAGCTCAGTATGCTTAAACTATCAACATCTATGGGGGAAATCCTACCATTTTCCTTGAAGAAAAATACAAAGATTATCAGATTGCTCTTTTTCAATGAAACTAAGGTAGCAAAATGAAGATGTTTCATAGAAAATGTCACATAAAATGTTTTTGGCAGTCTACGAAGATTGTTTCAACTCCACTAACAAATAGCTAAGGAGAAGTCAGGAGAAAATTAAAAAGTAAGATAAATACAAATTGTCAGTTGTAATAATCCTAAGAGTGATCTAGCAATAAAATAATCATTTCTCATAATTGTAAGATAGTCAATTGGCATTAAAACCCAAAGGATAACTGTTTATGCCTGTATGTCATAAACCTCAACCTCAGCAATCCTGGCATTTGGGCCAGATAGCTAACTCTTTGTTGTGGGTGGCTGTCCTCTGCATTGCAACAGCTTCAGTGGCCTCCTTGGCCTCTACTCACTACAAGCCAATAGCACCAGCACCTCTCATCTGGGACAAGAAAATGGCTCCAGACATTGCTGAGTGTCCCCTGTAAGGCAGAACTGGCCTCACTTGAAAACCATCTCTCCAGGAGAAACACTGCATGATGGACCAGAGACATCTAGGTGATAGTTGATAATTAAATGACAATGAAGGATAAAATAAGATTTGTGCGTAAGAGGGGCAAATGAAAAGTTTCCCTGACAGTGTTCTTTGCTCCCTACCTGATTCTGCCAGCATCTTCACAGCCTTGGCCTTGGCCAGTTCCAGGGCCGTCACCCAGCGCTGCCGCTCCACTTCTGAGCTGGCCTTCAGATGGTAGGTCTGAGCACCCCCATTGGAGATGATGAAGTTGCAGGAGTCCTCCACAGTGATGTTGGCTGTGGCCAGGTTGATGGTACCACGGCAGGTGTGTCTCATTTCTGCCTTTGACCTGCAATAACGAGGCAAAGACATGCTAAGTAGAAAGCTGTGGGTGGTTTGCCCTTGATCAATTCCATTTCTTTTCATAACTTTTGAAAACATAGTAGTCTTAAGGAGCAAATTCTAGTATTTCCCTGAAATTCAAGAACCAGTCAGTAGGGATTTCCTTTCAGAGCCCAAGTATTGTTTCTGAGTCAGATTGTATTGCTCTGCTGTTCTTCTCACCCTTAGCAGTTTAAAAAGAGGCTTCATTGAAGTATAAGGATAAACTATAAATTCAGCAATTTTAACTGTATGATTCAGTGAGTTTTGACAATGTACATAACTGTGTAAGCACCTCCACAATCAAAATATAGACTATTTCCATCTCCCCAAGAAGTTCCCTCATGCCCTTTTGCACGTAGGAGTTACTTTTTATTTAGAAAGTTGTAATTATAAAATAGTGCTTTATAAACTCATGCATTTTACATGTACTGAACAATCTCCCCCAAACGTAACTCAGCCTAAATGAGACCTGTCACACTGCTTAGAATTGTACTGCAGAAGTATAAGGCACACTTACATGATTAGAGTATTAAATACTGACTACAGTTCAAATGATATGAAATAGGAATAGTTTTCTGTGGGAGAAAAGACAAAATAATCATAAAAGAATCATCAGGTGTCTAATCTTTCTCTGCCAGGTTCTTCCCTAAGGTCCACTGACCTCTACTGGTGGCAACTCCTAAGCCATCCTATTAATAGCTAGGAAAGATTCAGCAAATCTGTTCTCAGAGGGCTGGGTGTAAAATTTTTCCCCATCGCTACTGGCAGTTCTATTCATAGACTAACTTTTGAACTTTACAGGACCGCTTGGTGACAACAAGCTACAAGAGACTTCACATGAGCTATCAAGCTGCTAGCACAACTGGATGTACAGTGTGAACTGTGCTAATTTCCCCATCACCCGCTGGCTATGCCCAGGGACCTGCCTGTTGAGACCGAAGTTTTCCCTGACCAACTTGGAGCATAAAGAGGTCAAAGTCCTTTGCCAACTGCCATAGTGCAAAGCAGAGCCATTTCCCTTTCACTGGAGCCAAGCGGCCAAACACACCTGGCACATCCAGAATCTCTGCAAGCCAAAAATGACACACGCCCGTCCCCAGAAAGTGACTAGGTGTGTTTGAGAGAGTTGGTTTCCAGTACTTAGGAAGATAGATTCCCTATTGTTCAGTTTGTCACATGAAACTGGTTTTTCATCCTCAAATGCACAAATGAGCTGTATGGGATGGCCAGGGGGTCTCAACGGACTGGGCCACTTTCCATCCTCTGCACCTGCCACACTGTAATGTGAATCCCTGTTTTTTCTATTCTTCCCTCCCCTCCCCCTCCCCCAAGCTTCAGTTACATTATGAATAATGCAGGCCGAATTACAGACCCACAGCTGACTGTCCGCTCACCCTTGCTTTCTACTCCTAAGGTGTTTCTTGGACCTTCTACCTCATTCCTCACAATGTGTTGGTACTTTTCACAAATCACTTCCTAGGAATTTCTGCCTGTTCATCTTCATGAACTAAGAAGTTTCTCAAATTATATAAAGTCTGTAGCAGTTTCAAAAATACAAAGAAATCCTGGGAATAAGGTAGCCTTGACCTCAGGGCTCTTGGGTTTGGGCAAATACACCAATGGCTATACATGATTATCGAAGCTGAAAAAAGAAATTACTTCCAGGGTCCAAAGTAAGTTCTTCAGGCACTACATTAGGTGGTATTTTCTAGCTAGAAATTTCTTCCCTGAAAAGGCCAGTTGAAACAGTAACTCCATCTCTAGAAGCTAGCCAGGAAAACTAATACCGTGGGCCTGTCATGATGTGTCTGGGAGAGCTGGGATTCTACATTCGGTTTTAAATAACTGGCCATCTGTGTAACTAAGTATGTAAGGAAGAACAGGATACATAAAAAGAGGCAAGTGGTGTTGCCAAAGCCTCTTAGGATAGTTCATCAGAGGACAGGTCTAGGAAGAACAGAATCTCAGTTAAAAAGAAAACAGTATTTTTTAAAAGGCATGTGTATAGGAAATGACAGGTTTTCGAGGCATGAAAAGCAAGAGGAATGACAACTTAGCCAAACAACTCTAGGAAGATGGGAACCGGAAGAACTCTATTAGGTAGAATAGACTACCAACATAGTTGGCCAGATGTATTTCAATGTGATTTTGAGGGTAATGCATAGACTTGATAACTCTGGATCCTGTTGCTTGGTTGATTTGTGGGTGGTACTATCTTAGCTGGCAAGGACAGGCCCATGGCATAGTTCCCAACATGTGGTTTGGTATGTTTTGGAAGGAGTTTTATCTGTGGTCAGACAGGTACCACTAGCTCTTGTAAGAGAGAAGTCAAAAATGGTTACAAGTACTTGAAGAGAACACATTAAGTTATTAATGTCCAATCAAAATCAATATTGATTAGGACTGGTACTGATCAAAGAATCAACTGGCTGGGAAAGTGGATCTGGTAAGAACTTGGATGAGGAAAAATGATCATACACTAAAACCCTTGGCTGGTATACACTTTTGAAAATGGGGAATCAGTATTAACAGTGGCTTACAAGTCAAATTAAGATATGAACCAACTGAACATTAGCATGATGGTCAATTAATTTTTTTAAATATGTTTTTATCCACTTTAGAGAGAAAGAAAGGGAGAGAGAGAGAGACATTGATTGGTTGCCTCCTGCAAAGTCGCACCCCAACCAGGGATGGAACCCACAACCTGGGTATGTGCCCTGACCGGAAATCGAACCAGTGACCCCTCAGTGCATGGGACGACACTCAACCAGCTGAGCCACACTGGCCAGGGCTGATGGTCAGCTTAATAGATAAACATGAAGTTGAGTAGGGGAAAGCTTTGGAGCAAACACAATTTTTTATTTTTTATCTAACCTTAAAGTCCTAGATAAGTAATCAGAAGAGGTTAAAATTAAAATTAATTCTGAATATAATAATGCAAATAATATACAAAACCGGTTACAATTAATGTCGCTTAAGCAGTGAGGAGGCACTAAGGCATTTTCCACTGTTCCTAACTCCAATTAAACCTCCAACTCGCACATTTGATTTCCCCTAAAAATTTTCTAAGGGCCAATAAAATAGAGTTAATGGAAGAGATTCTTTACCCTAACTCTCCTGGTGGCAGAGTGACTACTGGCAGAGGAAAAGAAATAGAGTGAGCTGCTCTTAACAGCAGCGTTCTGTGACCCAAATAAGATGGTCTTCATAAAAATATTTAATTAGAAACGCCATTACACTAAGCAAAGTCTCCCTGTATACATTTTGAATATAATAAACACAGTAACCATGAGCTATAAACTTAGTTGCTATTGATACTTAATTATCTCTGTATCTGATTCATGTAATACTAACCTAGGTTTTAGGTTATGTTGGTGTGAACAGAACTAGTTTCAAATCCTGACTCCTCAAGACTTTGGGAAAGTTGCCCAAGCTAAGTCTCAGTTTCCTCATCAGGAATATGGGAATATCTTCTAATTCCCAGGTTGTTGTACCTAAAACACCTATCCAAACTGTCTAGCCCTCAGAAAATGTTTACGCCCTGTCCCCAAATCCGGTATCTTAACCCCTCTATCTATAGTAACATGAGTAGCCAAAAACATGTTATGTTATGGCAAGTCTGTGACCATAAATATATAAGACATACATTGTTGAACAGAAATAAACCATACCAAAGACATTCTTTTTTTAATAAACAAACCAAACTAGCCAGAGACCCCAGAAATATTACTGGATGGAAGACTTAAATCATTCTCATGGGAGGAGGTGGGGCAAGCAAAAATAAAAGCAGTACTGGAGTGCACATCTTCACTCTGAGCTGTCTGTCTAGGAGAAAACATACCCAAGTCTAGGAGAGATAAGGAAGACAGGGGATAGATGGAGGCCACCCTGTCCTTGTGCCTGAATGTGGAGAGAGCAACGGCGGGTACATCAAGGGCTGCTAATAACCTTGAAATTTGGAGACTGGGCACAGACTGCTAAAGCTAAACCTTGGGACTTTTATGCTAAGTTCCTTGGGAGCAGTGCCTGGGCTTTGCTCTCCTATATGTGTCCCCTGGCACCTACAACAGCGTCCTCGTGCAGAATTAATCACTGTACCCACGTGCTGGTGGAAACATAATGGAAAGGCCAGGGGCCGAGGGGTAAGGTATGGCACCGAGGCTGGGCAATCCAGGTAGAGGGGTACGTCGTGGGGCATGCTCTCTCCGTGACGGTGGGCTCGGGTCGCGGGCTGTCAATACGCGCAGGTGACGAAAGGGGGCCCGGGGCGACCTTGGCTGCGGGGCCGGCTGGAGGGGGCGACGGCGAGGGAAGGTGGGCTGCAGTAGGGGGACAGCGCCCCGGAAGCAGTTACCTGTAGTAGCTTAGTAGCCCGTTGCTCAGCACGAACCAACGCCGCTGGTAGCCTTTGATATAATTGGTCCATTTGAAGAGCCAGCCTTCTCGAGCCGAGCCCGAACCCCCAGCGACCGAGCCGCCCGAGCCGCCCGAGCCCCCAGGCGGAGGTGCTGGGGCTGGGCCCGCCGCCGCCACTGCCCCGGCCCCGGGGCCCGGGCCGCTCGCAGACGCCGTGGCGACAGTGCCCGGCGCGGCCCCAGAGCCTGGCGCCGAGTCTCCGCGGCCGCCTCCGCTTCCCACCACCGGGGGACCAGTGCCCCCACCGCCCGGAGCTGCAATGGCTGCCGGGCCCGGCCCCACCACTCCTCTCAGCTCCGTCGCCGCCATGAGCTGCCACCGCCCCGAGACACAGAACCGGAACCGCCTACGAGAGCCGCCGTCGCCGCCGGAGCGCCGCACACAGCCAGCGCATCGGCCGCCGTCGCGTAGCGTCACCGCCCCGCCAGGCCCGCCGGGGGAGGAGGGACCGGCTGCCGGGAAGGAGGAAGTCAATTGGTGCCGCTGAGTGTCACTTGTGGAAGATCCCTAGGACATTGGCATTTTCCTGGGGCCTGTCATTCCATACAACCCTCTGAGAGTCCCGGGTAGGACGTGTCCGCCAGCCACGTCATTGATTGGTTCTTATGAAGGCCAATCAGACTTATGTAAAGCTCATTGGTGCTTTCCTGAAGTCTCCAGCACTTATGGAGGACTCGAGAATTCAGAGTGCCCGGCCAATTTGATCGTGGATTGGCTCGTGTTTCCGCCACTCATTTCGTTTTATGTTCCCGTCACTGCCACGTCACCCGCTCCCATCATTCTTCCTAGCGTCCCTCTTCCGCCCTAAGGATTGGTGGTTGGTATCAGCTGCTCAACCTCTTCCACCATTGACTGCATCAGTTGAGGAAAAAGGGAGGTGTCTCATTGTCACATCCCTTACTTTCATTTCTTATTGGTTGTTATAAATGGCACTCACCTTATGGCCAATGAAAGAAACGTATTGGAAGAGGGGCAGGCCGAAACAGCCAATAAAATCTGGGATGAGCGCCCGGGGGGCGTGTCCGCCTGTTTCTTGCTTTAGGGGAATTGGTGGGAGTAAAAGCAAGTCAGTCTCACTAAAGGGTTAAGTGCCGTGTTGGAATCCCTCTTGCTGAGCTAAGACCTCTGTAGCTTTTTTGTTAGGAAGAGTGATTCTGAGCAGTCAGCCTCCCCTTTTAGAGCACTCTTCCAGCAGCTGGCTCGGATCTGGAAGCCCAAATTTCTGGGGAACCCAGAAATAGTTTCCCTCCTGGATCCACGATCCTCCTAATGACCTTCCCTGGTTTTCGTATTGCACCACATCTTTATCTCTTGTTTCTAATCTATATATATATATATTCGAGAGGGAGACAAACATCAATGATGAGAATCATTGATTGGCTGCCTCCCGCACGCCCCCCACCGGAACCGAGCCCACAACCAGGGCATGTGCCCTGACCAGGAATGGAACCTTGACCTCCTGGTTCATAGATGCTCAACCGCTGAGCCAGGTCGAGGGGCTCTCTTGTTTCTAATTCTGTCCCACGAGTTGCCCACGTTAATGACGAGAAAACAGACTCGCAAGGACCTGACTTTGTATGTACTTCACAGTGATATCTCTTCCAGACTTAAAGACTCTTGTTGATTTTAGCACAAGCGCACCTCTGTGCGGGTAACTTCGCACCAATTTTTTAAAATAAATTTACTTTGTTCATACATTTGTGAAAGTAACATATTCAGTACTTCATTTAACATTTAGATGCTGTAAACTACTGTTAAAATGGAGCTTTGGGCAATCTGTAAAGTAACATATTCAGTACTTCATTTAACATTTAGATGCTGTAAACTACTGTTAAAATGGAGCTTTGGGCAATCTGTTATATTTTGCTAGTTTAGATAGGCAATGGCTGTTAGACGCTGTAAAACAAATTGCTTTTCCTTGGTAACATGCTTCCGGGTATCAAGAAAGTAAAGACAAATGTTTTTCATAAGAAGAGACTTATTGAATTCAGGAGAAAACATTTTGAAAATCTGCAGGTAGATGTAGGCTATTTGGTATTAAAAAAAGTTTTTAACTGAATTAAAATGAACCCATTTATGCTTCAGTCCTGCCTTTGCTACTCACTGGCTCTGGGACTTAGGGAAAGTCATTTATTTAAGCACTCCAAGATTCAATTTTCATTTCTGTTAAGTAGAAATAAAGCCCTACAGGGATACTATTGTGCATCTGAAAATGTTTGATACACTGTAAATAACTACACAAATGTGCAGTGTGTTGTCAAATACACCTCTCAGATTACATGCCAATCAGAAAGACATACTTTTGTAATGGAGAAATCTGGCTGTATCCATCTTAATTCAGTTATTCAATTTAGCATCATTAACCCTGGGACAATCAAATTTTTATGAGGTCCCTGGTGTGCTGCAGCATGAACTACACAGCATCACTTAATGAAGGTTTTTTGTTAAAATGTTTAACCTGAATCCAATCAAGCCTTTATATCTGACCTTCCCCTTACAGGGGCTAGCAGTGGTTCTCAACCTTGGCTGCACATTAGAATCACCTGGGAATCTTTTTAAAATCTTGATTTCTGGGCCTCATCCTCTGGAAATTCTGTTTCTTTGTTATGGGGTGAGGCCACAACATTAGCAACAAGAAACAAAATTTCCGGAGGATAGGGCCCAGAAATCAGGATTTTAAAAAGATTCCCAGGTGATTCTAATGTGCAGCCAAGGTTGAGAACCACTGGGCTAGAGGAACCAGTTAGACACGCTCAAAGAAACAATGGGAAACAATCAGATACATCAAGAATGCTAGGAATTCTATAAGACAACCAGTTTTATAGAAGATAAAATCACAAAGATTGAAGAAAATTGATGGCATAAAAAGAGTCAGGGTGATTGTTCTAAGTTTCCAAAAACTTAAAAGACAACCAAATACTTGAATGAAATCTGGTTCTGGGAAAATAAACAGCTTTTTAGACATGTTTGGGATATTTGGGTACATTTGAAAATTGGCTGGAATTAGATATTAGGCAATTATCACATTTGTTCAATGTAATATTGGTATAGTGGCTATGAAGGAAAGCATCTTTAAAATTTGAAGAAATGTTTAGGCATGACCATTGTTAACAGTTTGAGAATGTATATGTATATGTATATGTATATGTATATGTATATGTATATAATCATATGGATTTTAAATTTTTTTTAAAATATATTTTATTGATTTTTTACAGAGAGGAAGGGAGAGAGATAGAGAGTTAGAAACATCGATCAGCTGCCTCCTGCACATCTCCTACTGGGGATATGCCCGCAACCCAGGTACATGCCCTTGACCGGAATCGAACCTGGGACCTTTCAGTCCGCAGGCCGATGCTCTATCCAATGAGCCAAACCGGTTTCGGCTGGATTTTAAATTTTAATGAAATATTTGGACACCTATAGTTATTAGTTTGCTAGGGCTGCCATAACAAAATACCACAAGTGGGATGACTTAAACAATGGAAATTTATTTTATTACAATTCTGGGGGCTAGAAGTCTGAGATCAAGCTGTTGGCAGGGTTGGCTTTCTGGTCTCTCAACTTTTAGATGGCTGTTTTACTCTTTGTCTTCACATGGTCTCCTCTCTGTGTCTGTGTCCTAATCTGATTAGGACACCAGTCCTATTGGATTAGAGCCCACCCACACTAATGACCTTATTTTAATACCTCTTTAAAGGCCCATTCTCCAAAAACAGTCACATTCTGAAGTTCTGGGGCCTAGGGCTTCAACATGAGGTTTGAGGGACACAATTCAACCTATAAGATCCATAGGATGCATATGATATATGAAAGTTATAAAACACAATAGTAAAAGTAATACCCATTAATCCACCATTCAACATAATACAAACTAACCAGTTTCCTACATCTTTGTGCCAACACCATTCCCCTAAACACTCCCAAAGCTAAGCACTGTGTTAAGTCTATTTTCAAAAAATTTATTCTCAGTCACTACCTTTTAAAGGCTCAGTCTCCTCATCCTGTAGACCAGGAATAGTGTTGTGAGGCTCTCTACTAAGTGTCCCCTTCTCTTGTCTATTTTCATCTCCATAGGGCGAAGTGATTTTTAAAAGCATTTCTTTGATGCCTGCTAGGTGTCGTCTCTGTGCCAGGTCTTGGGTACAGCTGTGAATAAAACAGTTTCTGTGTTTGTAGTGCTCATAAATCAGAACATATGTTGTTTTGTACTTTTTCTTTAAAAACTCTGCAAAAGCTTCCCATGCAATGAGAATAGGTCCCTTCAAGACCACCATGTGGTCACCCAATCCCACTCCCTTCACTCCAGCAACACTGACCTGCCATGGCCCCTTCAACTCCTCACTCATTCTCATTTCAGGGTCTTGGCTATCTTCTTCATCTTGCTTGGGCTCTTCTGAGACCTTTGCACGGCTGTCTTCTTCTCATTATTCATATGCCTACTTAAATGTCACATGCTCAAGATATTTCCTGACCACATTGTCTGAATTACACACCCTATCACTCGATTCCATTATCCTCTTTTGTTCTCTTTTTAGCTCTTATAAGTACCGCCCTCGGAACGTAAGCTGCACCAGAGTAGGACCTTCTTTTGTCTTTGTCATCACTGTACCTGGAGTAACACTGGACATAAGTGATTTCCTTATATTATCAAATTGTTCCTGACCTAGGGGTTGCTGTGATAAAACAGTAATAGTTTTTGAATAGTAACAAAAAGTCCTTGAAAACTGAATCTTATTTTGAAATGGGCCTTGCACACACAGGCTAATTTATTATATTAAGGTCTGTCCTCTGAATAATCCTGTTTCTTCATAGCATAACTATTTAATGAACAGGCATTTGATCCCTGCTAGGTATTGTCTCTGGGTCTTGGGTACAGCTGTGAATAAGACAGTTCATGTGTTTGTAGAGCTCATGTAGTAGTGCAATGAATTAATGAATGAACCACTAACCTGTGAATGAATATAGCTAATATAAAATGCATTTTAGAACTGGAATAGAGAAAGAAGGGTGAAAGCAAGGAGCCTTACTTGTTCTTTTCAAAAATGTGTAAACGAAAAGGACCAGATGCCTCGCAAGGGCCTTCCTCTAACCCTGATCCTTACACATTGCAATTGGACTTGAACATTATAACCTGAATTGCTCCTTTTTGGATATTTCTGGGAGGCAATTTGTCCACTGAAAATGAAGGCATTAAAGTCCAATCAGAAGAGTTTGCAGATATGTCCTTAAATGCTTGTAGCTTTTCTGCTGCTCCTACATGAAACATGGATGCAAGGGCCAGGGCCTTTTTGTATCCAGGACACTAGATGTGGAGCTTAACATTACAGTTTAACCCTTACTAGCTGGATGGTCTAGCTGATCTACAGTTTCTGTACTGTACAGTTATAATTGTCCATCCTATTATTTAAAGTTATAGAGAAGACTGAATTAGAAAATGAAGAATGTTCTTTGTACACTATGAAAGAGCTGTAAGATGACATTGTGGATTTACCTTTGTTCACTGTTGGATGAACATTGAC